GTTTAATACTTTTAATTTTAATGTGTTTATTCAAAATTACAAGAATAATAAGTACTTACTTAAAAGGTCTATTGACTTTACTACCAATAATGCAAGCATCAAGTAAAATAACTAGGACATAATGCACTTATTAAATCAATTCAAATAAATCTAAATGAATCTTTAACAGGGGGTAACATATAGGTTAACACATCAACTCAGGATTTTTAATGGATTTGTCAATCGGAAACATTTTTCTAAAGAAATACCACACGGTATTAGGTGCGGTGGCATATGTTAGTACTCAGGTGTACTGAAGCAGGATGATCATGGGCTGCATGGTGATACTTTGTCTTAAAAAAAGAAATGAAAATATAAGATGGTAGAGCAAAAAGTCCCCCCAAATTAATGTTACACTTGACCTCATAATCTAAATTTTAAAAATTATGCTAAGGAAGTAATTATAAAAATATTTTAAAATTCTGTTTTCTTTAAGCATGTTATAATGCTAAAACATTATAAAGTGCCTTTAATGTTTTGTTTTAAAAATGTAATGTATAAACATAATGTAAGACTAAAGAGATGAGGAGCTAAAAGCAGAGTTGCCAGTGGAGAACTGTGCACATATTTATATTAGGTTAATAACACAGAAACAAATGTGTACAAGACAATTAAAGTGTCATAAGGAATCAAATACTTCCAGTCACTGATGCTCGTACACAAAGATTAAGGATTCAAGAAGCAGGACTACAGAGATGAGTCAAGGGTTAAGAGCACTGGCTGCTCTTGCAGAGGGCCCAGGTTCCATTTCAGCACCCACATGGCAACTAACAACCATCTGTAAGTCCAGTTCCAGGGGATCCGATGCCCTCTTCTGACCTCTGCAGGCATTGCACTACACAGGTGCACTCACATGCATGCAGGCAATACACTCATACACATAAAATAAAAATAACAAAATATTTTAAAAAAAGAATTCAAGAGAATTTTTTCCCATCCATGTTAGTATGTCAGCAGTTGGTTACATTATGCAGGTCTTGTTTAGACAACCAGATTGTTGCTATTTCACCTGTGCAACTTCTCGGTCATACTAGGAACACACTATCTAGTAGGTGCATGACTTTAGTCCCAGTGCTCAGGAGGCAGAAGCAGGTAGATCTCTGTGAGTTCCAGGCCAGGCAGGGCTATACAGTGAGACCCTTTCTCAAAAAGCAAAACAAACAAACAAACAAACAAACAAAAAGCAATGACACTATCTAGTAGAAGGCATCCTGGTCCTTTGAAAATAAGTTTTCTTCATGGATGAGCTCCCTGATAGGTTAATCCACTCCCAAATGGTCAATCCTATACGCATGTACATATAAGAACACTAAATGGATTCAATAGGTTGTGTGTGTATACACACATATGTATATATGCAACAATAATAATTAAGAAGAGGTCACAAAATTTGTAAGGAGTGAAGAGGACATGGGAGGAGTTGGAAGGGGTAGAGAGAGGTAAAAATGATATGAATATTGTACTCATATATGACATTTTTTAAAAACTAGAAAATTTGAATTTTAAGGAAAGGATATATGAAACTCATATATGAAATTGTCAAAGAAAGAACTTAATAAAAAAGAAAAAGAAAATGAAAAAAAGAATTCAAGGAACCTTAATAATATAACATTAGACCAATAAACATTAGACCAAATCTACAGATATTACTGTTTTATTTTATCTTGGATTATGTAAATATGATTTTAGGCTTACCAATAACTCATTTAGGAAGAAAGGTAGTTTATATTTGACTGGCCTCAGTCCTGGATTAAGGTCATCAAACACAGAAATAATTGAGTCACTACCTTCAGTGTTCTTATTCATAAAGTGAAAAGAGAAAAAAAGAAAGAGAGAAAGAAAGAAAGAAGGAAGGAAGGAAGGAAGAAGAAAGAAAGAAAGAAAGAAAGAAAGAAAGAAAGAAAGAAAAAGAAAGACACTCCCACTGACTGATGCCCAAAGACCATATTTTCTCAGCTCTGTTCCCATTGTCTTTGGGATACTGGTACTCAGCATTGTGATCAGAAGCTCTCCCTGGACCACACGGGCAGTGTGTCCTGAGATCTTAGGCTCCTAGAAACACACACAGCTCTAGGATTGTAATTACTACAAAGTCTGCCTTCAAACAAACTTGATCGAATTTGTGCTCCCTATTTCCCTATTCTCTTTGCACTTCTAACATGTGGCTTATTAGAATTACAGAAGTTTAATAGAAACTGAAGTGCTAATACCTGCATCTGAGGGCAGGGGGCCTGTGTTAACTCTGGAATCAATACTGAACAAGGGTTTTTGAGTAAAGCTTAACTGAATTCTGATAAAAATTAAATTACTTTTCCGAGTAGCTATGGAAAGATCTCAGGAAAGAAAAATCTCGATTGCAGGTTCTTATGAGGGGAAGAAACTACAAAAAGAAAATGATAAGACTTTCCATTATTTGAATTCACTCAGCTCTTCCAAGAAGGTGATTAAATATCTCCCAGATAGTCTTCCTTGTTATCAGCATAGAACGCTCCATGAAACCAGAACAGTGGGTGCTCACATCCTAAATCATCACAGAGATCTTATGCTTGCAGCGGAGATTGAATCCTGAGCTTACACACTATAGAAACCCATTAAAAATATGAAACTGAACTCTTGTTATACATACAGGAAATCTAACATAAAAAAGGGAGATGGGTATATCTGACAGATAAAACAGCTTCCTATAGACAAGTGAATCTGAATCTCACTGTGAACATCAGGAATAGTAAATTGGTCCTGAAATTTCATTACAATTAACCTCGGATATAACATTCATTAAACTAATGTTTCCTGAGAAGGCCAAGTATGGTTTGTAAAGATTACCTCGTTCCATCTTCAGAAGTCTTACAGGAAAAGACCACCACTATCTCCATTATGCAGATAAGAAAACTGAGACTTAGAAAGAGCAAGTAATTTTCCCATGACAAAAATGATTAAGTGACTGAATGCAATTCAAACTCATGTTCTCCACATACTGTTGCATTGCTCCTCAGCATTGTATTAAAGATTTTTTTTTTGCTTATAATAGATAAAAATATCTGAAAAAGACTTCCATGGAAGCACCATTAAAGTAACAACAATCAACAACAAAGTCAAAAGGTGAGGGGGATGAAAAAGGAACTATAAAGAATCACTCAAGATAACAACGAAGAGCCTTAGGTGACTTTGCAAGGCTCTGTTGATGTCATTGTCCCAATTTTGAATGATAAATAATTTCACAATGGTGTCCTAAGTCATTATGAAGAGCAGTTCACTTAAAAGATGGGGAACTATAAGAGGCCTTCCTCTTTTCAACAAGGAATTCAAGGGTGATATTTGAAGGTTTGTATGTCCTAATATGGTGAGTTTTGACTGACTAATTTTTTCATACACACATACATACATAAATATATGTATGTATGTGTGTATGTATATATATATAAATATATATATACATGCTACAGCCTTTGGAGCTGGAGTTACAGGTGGTTATGCACTGCCCAGCATGGCTTTGGGAACCCAACTCTGGTCCTCTGGAAGAGTAGCAAGTGCTTTTAATTGATGATCCATTGCTCTAGCCCTTCAGTCCATCTTTTTACAGTGTCCATCTAGCCAGATACTGCTGTATAAAATCTCTAGTTGTTTTCATTGGCCTTATTTATATATAATTCCTATTTCCAGATCGTGTTCATTTCATCTTTATATTTTGAACAAGCTGCATTGATTGTAGTATTTGCACAAGAGGCACATCTAGGAGTGTGAGAAACTAACACAGGCCTGACTCTGACTCTAGTGACAGATCTCAAGGAGTCACTTTCCCCCTCTCTATGCTTCTGCATTCTTACTTCCAAAGACAGAAGTTAGGCAAATGATCTACAGATAGTTTTCTCCAGCTCTAACAGCTTATAGCATTATTATGATGCTACATGTGGTTAAGCTGCCACTGGGAGAAAAATGAAAGAAATTTGAATCTACTAGAATCAAAACAATATTTAATCCCACAAAATCTTAGTCATGGAGAACTCCAAGCTCTGTGCCACACACAGTGTTCCAATGAGTTAAGATTTTTTAGAAAATGGTTACCAACCAAGGCCTAAGTTGTAACAAACTTGAATCCTGAAAGTCTGTGAATTTCTGAATCCCAATACCTTGCACCCAAGGTTTCTTTTACATTAGAATGCTTTGGCATGGGGTAAAATCATGACTATTTTGTGAGCTTTCAAAAGTTTTATTTTTTCCATGAACATCTCAACAGATAGAGCAAATCATTTTGTAAAAACTATAGAAAGATAGTATTGTATTTTGGTCTTAAGTTTTCTTATTCAGTTCAATTCAAAGTACTCTATCAGAAGATAGCTTAATACATTAAGTAGCCCTATAAAAAGCTATGAAAGTGTGACTTACTTTTAGTCACTAAGCTATGCTATTCAAAGAGTTTTATTCTTTTAAAATAGAAAGCCATTACTACCTCAGTCAGAATGGCCATGCCTTTCCCTTTAAGGTGCTCTATGATAAAGGATTTCTCTATATCATAGAAAATCTGCAGGGGGTGGAAATAATGATTCTCAGGGATAATTAGTTTAGAAATTTGGAAAACCAATGACAAGTTCAGCCACCTGCCAAGTCGTCCCCAGTGGACTGGGGCTTTGAATGCAGGGTAAGACAGACTACAGGCAACTATGACTCTGCTAACTGAAAAGCCTTCAGATATGTGATGAAGAACATACTGCTTGTACACACAGGCCAGATAATCTTCCCAGTAGACCGCTAGCTGAAAGGCAGCCCTATCCCAGCACACTTTTCTGACCTAATATGAATGATAACCATGGAGAAACAAAAATCACAATATGCCAAATTACACACACGTACACATTTTGAAGTTCAGTGAATAATATGCATCTGATGGCTACAGTCTATTTGGACTGACTGGCATTTGGTCAAGGAAGACAAAGCAGAAGACGACCAAACTTGGGGGAACTTACGATGTAGCATGGCTCACAGTATGCTTTCTTCTCCACAGCGTAGAAAGGCTGTCCTCGGAGCTTGTTGCTACAGATGATGCAGGTGAAGCAATCCACATGGAAGACCTGATCCATGGCAGTGCATCCTGTCCCTTCCCCAACTACGTTCTCCCCGCAGCGTGCACAACGGCCTGGAAGAGAAAGGGAGTTGCTTAGCACAAGAAAACTCTTGGATCCTTTTAAAGAAACCAACATGGGGGAGACAGTAGGTTCATCCTGTGGCAGAGTGGAGCAGGTAACACAACCACCACCACAAGCACCAGCTAGCAAGCACCACAGTCACCACCGTGCGTAGCAGGTCCACCTGTTTCAATCGAGGAGACACCAAGGCCCCAGAGAAACTGATGGAGCAGAACTCACATTTGACTTTGGGGCCAGTATACTGCTTCTGATTTCATAGGTATAGGATCATGACTCATGGTGTTGGGACTGAAATGTGAAATCTACAGAAACATTCACCCAAGATTTGTCCCTGGAGAGACCACCCAGCTAGAAGGTGGGGATTGAGTCTAAACACAAACTTTAATTCCTTCTACAAGAGTCGTGGTTGCCAATCCTCTGTAGTTGATCCTAGGTGATGGACAGATCACATGGTAGGTAGTCTCCACTATTTCCAGAGCACTGTGACTGCTAAAAGGTTTTCTTTCCAGTGGGGTAATTAATACAGCCTCACTCTGTTACCCAATTGCTTTAGCTCTGACTTCTGGGGTTTATAAAACAAGTCCCATATCATACGCTTGATACCCTCTGAGACACTGCAATTCAGTGAGCATCACTTCAGTCTGCCCCTAGTTTGAACATCTCTAAATCCTTCAGTGGCTTATTTACTATGGGGTGTAGTCCCTTGTGCCCCTAGCTCTCAGTATCTGCCCAGTGTTCTGCAAAGCTTCAGCATTCTTAAACTAATTAATGGGACACCTGACACATACATGTACAATCAAGTTAGAGTTAAAAAACAGTGCGTTTTAAATAATAATGGAATACAATTTAGGACAATATTTTAGGGGTAGGAATAGCTCAGTGATAGAACATAGAATTAAGGAGTTCAGTCGAAAGAACCACAAGATATAAAAATAAATCAACTAACTAAATAAATGAATAAATAAAACAAAAAGGAGAAGAATTTGCATGAGTAGGAGGCTCTGTATCCCAACACTGTGGGATTCCTGAGGCAGAGTCAAGGGCCACAACCAGCTTGACTCCTTACAGCTCCTATTATGTGGAAACAACAATAACAACCCTAATAGGTAATTATAGGCAACTAGGAACATCAGCAAGAATTTTCAGGCTTTTTTTGCACATAAACTATAAAAACCTAGCTTCATGGATGGCCAACATTATTCTTGGGGCTCGCTGTACGACCTCATTTCACATTCACAACACTCTGTGTGTACATACTGTTATTTTGTAGAAGAGAAAACAGAGTTACAAAAAATGTTTAACTAACTTCAAGCCCAAGCAGTTTAGCTCAAGTGTCTGTGCTCCTAACAGCAGGGCTCTGCTGCCTGTTCTGAGTTCTGTTATGAGCATTCGCTCAGATCTGGTGCTACAGAGTAAATGGAGTGACTTCTCACTGATGATGCCTTTCAGCACCCCATCATGTTGGACTGACAGTCACTTCACACTCAAAACAGGCAGGGCTAAATGTTTCAATATGGGAGAGAAGAGGTAAATATAATTCTCTCTAGTCGCATTTGGCCCCGGAAAATATTTTTCTGTATTCTGTTGTAGGATTGAAGCACATCTTTGAAATAACAAAATAGCATTAATCAAGCACTGGAAAAAGAGTTAAACGATTAAAAAAAAATGAACTGCCTCTGTCATAGCTGGTATTATTATGAAGTTTCAGCATTATGGTTTTGATATTTAATAAAAAATTGTATAATATTTGGAATAAGGTTTTGGCTGTTTTCATAAACCAGCCAACATTTACCTTTTACTTAATATTAGACATATTAGAAAGATCTCTTTAAATTCATATATTTTTCTGTTTAGAGTAAGAAAATTAGCTTTTCATATGGCACTGCTTTTGTGATTATGTGGAAACAAAGCAACAATGCCCCCTTTCCAAAGTTAATTGGTTTACTATAACCTTAACAGTGCTCTGTTTGAATTTCAGAAAATAGATCCATGTGAACACTATTAAGAACATACTGGCTTCCTATGAAAATTATAATTTTATATTGTAAACTAAATATAAACCAACACAATTATTTTTCTATATTGATCTTTTTTTCTGTAAGTCATAAAAGATCACTTAACAGGGTATCTGGGAGTACATGGGATCTATTGACCATGGTGGCCAGCGAGGTGGTAGAAGTAGCAATTTTGGTCTAGACCATGAGTACTCAAAGGATACTACATGGAATCAAGACCCAGAGTGTACGTGGCTTATGGAGAGTTTGACAGCTATCTTGAGGATATGGAAACAAACTTTAATTACAGGCTCCAAGGCAAAGGTTGACCTAGAAAGGAAAGTCTTGATTTTCAACCTACTCAGCAGACACTCCAAGGGTCTACCCTTTGTCTGCTTTGTGTGACATGCAGAAATGGATCAGACATGATTGATGATTTTATAGTGATTCTGAGACTACATATACTCAACAGTCGGTGACAAAATGTATGACACTTTACAGAAAAATATGCTATGGAAATATGTAAGGAATATCACATCTCAGAGAGCCTAATACAAGTTTTCTGGGAGAAATAGGCATTTGAATTTGACCTTAAAGAGAGGAATTTGGACAGGTAGAGATGGAAAGAGAAAAACATTGTAGATTTTCCAGGGAGTGAATAAATGTCTGTGGCTTACTAGATGCAAAACATTGCAGTGCCTGGCGATGGCACAACAAGGTTTTGTCTCCTCACTATGAAAGCAGATGGCCTGTATTCCCAGAAACAATCTTCTTCTTTATGTTTAGGAGAACATTCTTCCAGAGTAGGTCAGGCTAATGCACTGCACTCAGACATGACCAGTTCTATTGCCTCTTGTATTTTTCCTATTCTTGGGATAAATTAGGGACACCAGTCTCAAGGGCAGCCAGTCTGGCACCTTAAAATTCGCAAGCACAGAAAAAACAGCAAAGAACAAAAGTTAAAAATAGATTTACACACCAGCAACAGAGAAAAGGTGCTCAAATATTCCCTTTTTACATTAACAAAAATTTCTAAACTATTCTTTTTACAGAGGCATTCAGAACGCAGACAGCTACTCATGCAGTGCATCTGGCCTCTAGAGGGACTTATACTACACATTATTAAAAGCACACCACAGCCTTAATGCCCAACTTTTAGACAAGTTTCTCAGTGCTTTGAACAGGAAAAACCAGAGGAATATTGACAAGCTTCAAGGCAGCAGAGTGTGAAGGAAGCACAGTTGACTAGGCAGCCGGCAGTCGGAGCTCTGATGCAGGGCTGGTGTGCTGAGCTTCTCAGCAATTCTTAGCTCAGCAGATCAAACCAACCGAGGCCAGAGGGCCAGAGAGCCTGTACATTTTGTCTGTGAATGAAGTCACACAAAGCATATATACCAAAAGTTTGTTCATACATTATTACGGCCTGTGGTGCCAACCATGGATCCTACACAGACTTCTCTTTCTTGGACCCACCACAACCTCCTTAATGTCTACAAATCAGACTACCGAAGTCAGGTTTCCTTATGCTGGGACACTGCACATTCTTCCTCATAGTTACTGAAGTCTCTGGTTGGCTTACTATAGCAAATGGAAATGCTTTATGGAAGTTTTTAAAAAAATTATTATTATTGCTTTATGTGTGAGTGTTTCACCTGCATGTGTGCACCCGTGTCGTGCAATGCCCATGAAGGTTAGATGTGGGCATTGGGTCCCCTGGAACTGGAGTTATACACGGTTGTTAGATACCATGTGAGTGCTGGGAACCAAACCCGGGTCCTCTGCAAGAGCAGCCAGTGCTCTTAACTGTTGAGCCATCTCTGCAGCCTTGCTTTATGGAAGTTTTAATCACTGGGTGAAACCTGGAAGACCAGACCATGTTTCAAGTAGGTATTAGGTAAGACATCAGTGGAGAGAAACGGTTTTGGAAACTCAACAGACTGAGCAAGGGAAGTAGAGTACCAGGAGGACAGGAGTGTCCAGAATTATTCTCTTGTTTGGGAATTGGTATTTATTTTCTTTATAAAGTACAAATAGACTTTTATTTAAAAATATTTTCCTAGTGATTACTGTACAGGTCCTCTTTTCTTGATTTATTATACTGGGTGACAGAAGGGCATTTTCACATAGGCATACAATGTACTCTGGTCATATTTCCAGTACTTAACCCTCCTCCCCTTTTGGGTCCCCTTTCCCCATGAGTTAGTCCCTTCCTCCCCTAGACTTTTTTCTTCTATTTTATCTGTACACATATGATTTTGTCCATAAAATCTGGGATCCACAAATGAGAGAAGACATGCAATATTTGTGTCTTTGAGATTTAATTAGCTTGATAAGATTATCTCCAGTTGCATCTATTTTCATACAAATGAAATAACTTCCTTCTTTATGGCTAAAAAATGCATTATGTATAGACACTGATTTCTTTATTCACTCCTCCACTGATGAACATTTAGGTTGATTCCATAACTTAGCTACTGTAAATAGTATTGCAATAAGCATCAATATGCAAGTATCTCTGTAACATGTAGTCTTTGTCTTTCAGGTAAATGCCTGGGAGTGGTAGAGGTGGGGCTTATGGTAGATCTAGTTTGTGTTTTTTTGAGAATCCTCCATACTGATTGTCATGGTGGCCTAACTAGGCTACAGTCCCGTCAGTAGTGTGTATGGGCTCTCTCTTGCTTCCATCTTCTGCAGCATTTGCTGTAACTTGTTTTAATGACTGCCATTCTGACTGGAGTGAAATGGAATCTCTGTGGGCTTATTTGACAGTTAGTGAGGCTGAACACTTTTTTCATGTTTACTGGCTACTTGAACTTTATCTTTCAAGAACTGTTGGCTCATCTCATTAGTCTATTTATTCTTCAGGATGTTTCATTTATTTAGTTTCTTGAGTCCTCTGTATGCTCATATATGCTAGATACTACTCTTCTGTTAGATGTACAGCTGCTTCATTATAAAGAGAAGAAAAGGCAGCATAGACAGATTGTGAACTCTCA